GCCGGGGGGAGGAGGGGGAGGCTGATGGGGACACAATGGAACCGCCGTGGGAGCGGTCCCGGGCCCGGTGAGCGCAGGGAGAGAGGGAGCGGGGGAGAGGGGATTGTCAGATGCGCCCGAGAGGATGAGGATCCCGGGGCGATGGGGACTCCCGAGGAGATGAGGATCTGAGAGGATGGAGACCCCCAGGGGATGAGGATCCCGAGGGGATGGGGACCCCGAGGGGATGAGGATCCCGGGAGGACAAGGATCCCGAGCAGGGGGGTGACACCATCTCGTCCGAGGGCTGGCGATGCCCAGGGGCACGGCCCCGGTGCAGGGGGGGCAGGGGGTGTCAGGGTCGGGCTTCGGTGCCCCCGGGACCAACAGGAGGTCCTGTGTGCAGGAGAAGTGCATGGACAAGCCGGGCCCGAAGCTGGACAGCCGGGCCGAGACGTGCTTCGTGAACTGCGTGGAGCGTTTCATCGACACCAGCCAGTTCATCCTGAACCGGCTGGAGCAGACACAGAAGTCCAAGTCGGCCTTCTCGGAGAGCCTGTCCGACTGAGCTGGACCCAGCCCCTGCCAGGCCGGGCCTGGCCCAGGCCCACTCCTCCCGAAGGAGCCAGGATCAGCTCAGGGGGTTAGGATTTAATTAAATGCCATCTCGGGGAAGCTGCAGCCAGATGAGAGCCCACAACAGAGACACGGACGCTCCACGCCGGGGTGATGTGGCACTCCCAGTGGCTGCCTTTGTGCTGGGACCCTGCACTTGGGACGTGCCCCCTCGGCTGAGGAGAGGGGTGGTGATGCTCATTCCATGGGTGTTTCCAGTGCTGATGTGAAGCTGGGCTCTGGGTGAGGCCAGCCTGTGGTTGCTGCCTTAAACAGTGCTGCAGAGACCAGCCCTCCTGGGTACGTGCTGACATCCCCCCGGGCACCATCCCAGGCTGGGACAGGCACCTGAGCCAGAAGAGCTCCCTGGGAACAGTGATCATCCCAGGCAGTGTCACCGCTGGAAAATACTGTCAGGCTTCCGTAGGTAAATCATTCATATGCCCAAGTGACCAATTTTCACACTGCAGCACAACTCTGTCGATGCTGACTTGCTCCATTAACTGCTTTCCCTGGGTAAATGTAATAAATAATAACTGGGTCAATTTTTAACATGAGATTCTCCTTTGTTCAGGTAGATCACGGCTGAGAATGGAAAATCTGGCCTTCTTGTTACTCCCCCTCCATCCCAGTGATCCTGTTTGTTGTAAAATTAATACGAAGAGGGCATAATTGTCTTTGGCTAGAAGGGTTTTTTTCTGAATTGTGATTTGTTGCTGAATTAATTTGGTCCCATGAATCAAACCTGTTTCTGGGAGAGTCTGTGGCCTTCCCCCTTCTTCCCTAAAGGTTTAACAGCTCCTGCTGACCTGTAGTTTCTTTAGAGAGACTGAAAGCAGGAAATAACTAACCAGCTGCTTTATCACCTCGTGCACTTTTACCTGTGGAGGTCGCTGGTGGGAGGCCCATGGGTGTGTCTTCTGGACCTCTGCCCCCAGGACACAAAGAGGAGCTTCTAACTGGAAAAACAACCAACAGCTGATCCGCTCTCTGGGAAGGCAGTGTGGCTCTGGGAAGCCTGGAGTGACACTGACAGTGGCCTGGAGCTCTGCACAGGAGCCTGGTCAAGCAGTTCTGCACACATCCCATTGCAGGAGGGGCTGGACAGCACCTGTGAGTGGCTTGTGGCCAGCAAGCCTTCCTGGGAACAAATTCAGGATGTGTTAAACAGCTGTGCTGATATAAACCCACATCAGTGAGGACACAGCTGTCTGGTTATCTTTCAGAAACTTACCTCAATAGCTAAGGACTAGGTTCCCAGAGCAAGTGGTTCCCTCTCCTGTCCTAACTTGAATTTCTCTGGAGCATTCGCAGAGTTCTTCCTACCCCTGTGATTCTTCACACCTTTCAGCTGGCCCAGCTCTCGGTACAAATGTATCACTCACCACTTGAGGAACTGAACAGATCGGTTTTTAATAGAATACAGTAAGCAGGTGCTTCATCAACCTGCACAGCAGATGTTGCATGAAGAGGTTGGTCCCTCTGAAGAGCCACAGCAGCATGTGGCAGCACCACTGAAGATTCCCAGTTTGGGCTGTATTCTGTTCTTGGATGTGAATCTGTAAATAAATTCTAGCAGAGTGAGCAAAACAAGTACTTGACAGAGGAATCTTTAATTACTATTCTGTGTGTGTCACCTTTCAAGCCAGACATCCATCTTCTCTCTGTGTAACCTTAGCACCATGTTAGATCATTTTGTAGCTGTTAATCCTGTTTTTAAAAAATGCTACAAGGCCTCCCCAGAGGTGTGGTCTGCCATGCAGGGTTAGCACTGTGTTAGTGCTGCAGGTCTCTGCACAGCCAGGTTCTGGGTCCTGATGAGGGCAGATCAATTCTTCATGTAAAAGAACAGCGAAGAAGCACAGGATCCAAGGAACTGGGCGCTTCCCAGGGCTCCTGTCGGGAGCCACAGGAGGCTGCTGGCTCTGCCAGACTCCTGTCAGTGGCACAGCACCCATGTGGCACCTGGGACAGGCAGAGGGTGACTGCCAGGTCCTGCTAGTGCAGCAGCAGCTGAGGCAGCACGTTCAGCCTTGGCAGTGGGAGCAGAAAGCCAGCAGTTCACAGGCATCCTCACACGCTTTCACTTCTCCTCCTCCTCTGCGCTCTGAGAACCTTTGTCCTCTGAGGGCAGCAGAGGCTGGTGCTGACAGGACTGGTGTCTGTCTGCACTGCTCCATGGGGGATGCAGGTCTGCCCTGCCTGGCTGCAGGAAGAGGGGCAGGAGGCTGGGGGTGAAGGGCATGTCCCTGAAGGCGTGCAGGAGGAAGATGCCAGACACGATGGTGAGGAAGCCGCTGATGGAGCCGACGACGTTGTCCAGCACCATGTGCTGCCACTCCTTGAAGAGGATGGTGGAGCACGTCATGACTGCTGTGGTGAACAGCACGTAGTAAACGGGTGTGACCACAGATGTGTTGAAAATGTCCAAGGCTTTGTTCAGGTAGTTGATCTGGATGCTGATGCAGATCACCAGGCACACCAGGAGCACCCAGCCCAGTGGCTCTTTCAGGACTGGCTTCCCAGAAAACAGTTCTTTGAGGGCAATGCCCAGGCCTTTGACGCAGGATACAGACAGTGAGCCAATGGCAGAGCAGACCAAAACATAAACCAGCACGTTGCTCTGTCCATAACGGGGTCCAGCCACAAAGATAAGCAGAAGGGAGCTCACCAGGACACAAACAGCAAATGCAATGAATCCTTGGGGAAAGAATGAAAGAGCTCTGTCAGAACACAGTGACAGATGTAACTGGACAGCAAGCAGAGACAGAGGACGGGGTAACTGCCCCATCAGTCTGTCTTTTTGGCCTCCATCTGAAAGGAATGGGATTGGGAAGCCTGAGCAAAGCTGCAGAGCCAGCAGCAGCTCTTAACAGTGCAATCACAAGTCAGGCTGTCAGATATAGCCCATGCTGGTAGTGGCAGGGGCACAGCCAGGCTCCAGGGCACTAGCAGTGGTGGGAGGCTTGTTCTGCAAGAGGCCCAGGAGGGTGGCAGAAGGCTTGGGAAGCCCTGGCCGAACTCTGGAGACTGTGGTGTGATAAAAAGGAAAGTGCCACGTAACAGGAGTGTGAGGCCCTGCCAGAGTGTTCCTTCTAATGAGCAGCAGCATCTACCTGTTACTCTGCTTTGCTCTTCTGCCTGTGCTTCCTTCCTCCATCTCTTGTGGCTTATTCTGCCATTTGTGCTATTGCCCACATCAAAGCCTTGCAACTTGATTTACCCTCTGACATAATCACCAGGACTACCTGATCTTGGATGTAACTCATTGATTTCATTCATCTTTGCCTGAAGGTCGTGCTCTGCCTTCCCTCAGCCACACCACTGCCACCCTTGTGTCCAGGAATTCCCTCTCCTATCCTGGCACTGCCACAGGCCAACCCCTTCTGCTGACAGCTGCACCTAATTCCCCTGCTCTTCAATTTTTGCATCTATACCTCATAGACAGTAAAAAAAAAAGCCCAGTTGGTAACTGCTAATGATTCCAGTTGTGTCTGCAAGACAAGAAACACCTCCATTACCATTTAGTTCAGTCCTTACTAATCTAGCCAAGTTGTGTCCCACCTTCTACTGTCAGTTTTGAGCCTGAAGGTGACAGGACCCCTTTTATTTTAGTACCTGGATCTTTCAGCTTCTCTGCCATTGACTCCAGGCTGGAAACCTCTTGTTCCTGTGGAGCGTGGATCACCATCACAGTGGAGCCCAGGATACTCAGGATGCAGCCAATCTTCCCATGAACATTCAGCTGCTCATTGAGGAAGGTGGAAGACAGAACTGCACTGAAAGATAGTAAGAAAAAACCCACTCAAAACTAATTAAGGCAAGAGATGGGAGTACCTGAGGGAAGAGAGGAAGGAAAGCAGAGCACCTGCTTTCGTCCCTCAGTAGGTGAGGTGAGGGAGTTTCTGAGGCTGCTTACCTAACAAGGACACTTAGAGCACCCAGTGGAGTTACCAGTGTTGCAGGGGCAAAGGCATAGGCAGCAAAATTTGCAGCTTCTCCAACTCCCACTGCAAGAGAAATTCTGTTGGGTGAGCATCGAAGTAGGAGCAATTCACCATAATACAAGTTTGAGTCTGGTCAGAAAAGCCTGTTTCCACCTGAGCATCCTATGTTTCTCTGAGGTATGTCATACAACCAGGAAAGAACAGCACCAGCAAGAACAACCAGAAGCCCCACACACGTTCTCTTGGGAAGGGAAGGCTCAGTGTTATGCATGGTGATCCTTGGTCACATGTGCCTATACAGCAAGCAGCAACCACGGGAAACTATTGCCACAACAGCCACAAAGCTGAAAGGAGTTTGTATTTCTAAGAGGTGTTCTTCTCCTGGAACTGCTTTTACAGCTTTTTAAAGGGTAAATCAAGTACAGTTGGTTCTTAACATTGAAAGGTGTAAAGTGGAGTGCTGAAATTGCTGTAGCATCAAACAGTGCTGGATGTTCTGTTATCACAACATTCTCTGTGCAGGCCACTTCAGAAACACTCAGCCCAACCCAGCTAGACCAACTCCTCAGGTCCTGCTTAGCAGAGAAACCTGGTAATGCACGAGACTTAAGGATATTTTAGAGTTAAAATTAGATCAGCATCATCCTCAGACACTTGGATAAAAATCAAGCAAACAATGACCATCATAACAAAACATGAAAGTGACTAGAAACAACCATAAACACTCTTAAAAGAGAAGGCTGTGGGGTGACCTAATTGTGGCCTTCCAGTACGCGAAGAGAACTGGAGAGAGACTGTTTACAAGGGCATGTAGTGACAGGATAGGGGGGAATGGCTTCCAACTGGCAGAGAGCAGGTTTACATTAGATATCAGGGAGAAATCCTTTACTGTGAGGGAGTGTCCAAGGCCAGGTGGGACGGGGCTTGGAGCAGCCTGGTCTAGTGGAGGGTGTCCCTGCCCATGGCAGGGGGTTGAAAAAAGATAATTTTTGAGCCCTCGGGTGTCCCTGCTCGTGGTCCTTAAGGTCCCTTCCACGATCCGCTCTGTCCCAAGCGTGTCTCACCGCGGGGTGAGCGCGGTACTTACTGCACAGCAGCCCTGCCCACCAGAGCCATTCCCGCAGGTACGCGTGCCCTCCTTGCCCTGAGTGCGGAGGAAAGAGAAACAGGAAGCCTCAGATGAAGCGACACGGACGAAGCGACACGCGAGGCTCGCAGGTCGCGATGCCCGGAGCCGCCGTACCTGCCCTGGCGCGGCCGCGGCGGCACAGCCGGAGCAGCCCCTTCTTCTTGAGGACGAAGCTGCCGCCGA